GCCCACTTCTCAATCCCCAGTTTTTCTTGCTGTTCCCGCCAGTAATCATCCTTATCATCCCCTTCCTCTTCACCCTCTTCTCCCTCTTCCTCCTCCTCGTCCCCACCCCCACCACTGCCACCACCTTCCCTCCGCTTCTCTCACCTCTTCCTCCTACCAATGGAACGTTTTTCCATCTGGGCCTTGAACTGAATAATTTCTTCTTGGAATTCTCGAACGAAGGACCACTTTGGGCCCACATTGACCAGTGGCTTGTTCTTAATGCTTTTGGCACGGCTGGCATATCTCAGAGTGCTCAGGGTCTCTTCTACATTGTAAGAGGCAGGCCCCACATTGGCTACCATCACAATTTTGGCATTGCCACCCAGAGAATCTTGGAGAAGCCTGGTCAGCTTTGAGTCTCTATATGGAATATGAGTGCTTTTGCCATCTACCATGGCAGAGATAACCTTCCCCAAGACTAAAAGGGCCAGGTTGATCTTTTTTGCTTCCTTCAGTCTTTCCCCTCAAGTGCCAGTCTTGGCTTGCCGCTCACTGCCAGCAAGATCTACGAGGTTCAGTTTTCCCACACGGATGTGGTTTTCACCGTCGAGGCCCACCTCACTGCACTTGACAGTGATGACAAAGATTGCATGTGACCTCGAGCTGTGTTCGTTCTTGTTTGTAGCCACAACGGACCTGTTTTGGTTTCCCACGTTCATCACATGCTCGATCTCCTCCACACTCTTGGTGACAAAGGAGGACAGGTCCTTCACATACACTCCAGTGTCAGGCCTCTCTTTGAGTTCCAGCCTTTTGGTCCGATCCTTTGAGAGCAGGTCTCGGATCTCCTCCTGGTAGATCTCTAAGTAAGATGCCCTGACCAGGTACTGCTGATTCTGCGATCGAGAGATGTGGGTGAAGATGTGATCAAACGAGTTAGAAATGACCCCTCTTTTCTCAGGGTCACCATGGACTCCTTCAGTAGTATAGGTTTTCCCAGTTCCACTTTGTCCATAGGCAAAAATTGTCCCACTGAAACCCTGCAGGACAGAGTCCACAAGTGGTCGGAACGTCTCATCATAGAGTTCAGACTGTTTGGCATTCCAGTCATAGACAGCATCAAATGTGAAAGTCTTGAGCATCTCGTGGGTGGTGCCCTTGGGGTTCTTCATAGATACCTGGTCCAGCTTCACATCCAGATCAACCACCTTGTCATAGGAAGCAGCTTTGCCATTCATGGGCCGACAGTGAACCACCACCCGGACTGACTCTGAGCTTTTTAACTTTGACATGATGAACT